CACTAAATTTCACTAAAAAAAAAAAAACGATTTTATCATATGACTATCCTGGACACAAAATTTTTCTTATTCTCTTAATAATATAGATGAGTAATTCTAATGATAATAACTAACAAAAATGAATTTTTTATTTCAGTTACCGGGGCAAAAAATAGCGTAGACGTTCCAGCTGACGTTGATGTAGTAGATGGCATTGACGTAACCGAAGACGATCTAGGTAGTCTCGAATTATCAGACCGTTCTGTTGAAGATTCGAACATTTTTTCAGATCCCGAAAGTGAGTGGGTTATTGATAAAACTGACAAAGTAAAAGCTAATCTACAACAGATTAATTTAACCCCTAACCTCTCTTCAGACTGTCGACCGGAAGTTGATCAACCTAGTCTTTGAAAATTTACTTATTTTTAGTTATTGAAATCTAATTTCTGTTTATAATTTTTCTTTGTGATTCAAAAAATTTTCTTAATTTAATAGATTTATTTCTTCAAATTTTTTTTTTACTAGTGGATTTTAAGAGTTAAAATAATTAAAACAAGTACCTGAACAAATGGTACTAATTTTGAGAATTAATTTACTATATAAATATTTAGCGTACGGATAAACAAATTAACAGTATTTATATTAATGTTAATAATAATCGATCAAAAAACCAGTCGTTTTATATTTAATTATAATAATAGCTTATGCTTATTTTATATCAATTCAATGGAATTAAATTAAGGTGATTTTGTTATCGAGTTAATATTGCTCTATATGATAGAAAATTGTGATGAATTGGTGAGTGAAGAAATATTTACGGTAAATAAGCACAAAACTAATTTTTAATTATTAATGAATTTTACTGGGAGTAAAGTTCTTGGAGTTGTCATTTGTAGCGTTGTTGGTTCGTTATATAGCTTATAAAGAGTTGGAAATAGTTGATAATTTAATTAAAAAATTTGTTTATTTAAGAAATAAGTATTAATCAATCATTTTATTTTTTGAAAAATATGTATATCTTAATAATTAATAGTTTATAGATAACAAAGTCAATATTACAATTGTAATTATGTAATAATTAAATATTTATAATTTTGATTAAACATTTGTTATATAGGATTAGTAGGTAATACAAATAATACATCTTGCCAGGACTTTTAGTCAAACTCTTTTCCAATTGAATTTATTTTAAGTACAAAAAATACCATTTATTCAAATAATAACGGAGATTTTATAAATATTTTTCTGGTTAATTTGTTTAAAGTAAACTAAAGATAAATTAAAATTTTATAAATTTAATAATCTTGATTATATTTCGATCTTACTTTCAAAATTTATCAAGAATCTCAAACAATACAAAAAATTTTGATCCCATTCTGATGAATTATACAATGTCAATTATAGTTGAAAAATTTTGAAAGAAATAATCATTGTTTCCTTCTTAACATATCAGATTGTTTCATGAAAAAAATGAATTGCAAGCAATAAAAACCTTAATTAGTAAATACAAGTTAATTATTCCAAATAAAAATTTATTTTTAGTTTCTAGTTAAAAATTGTAATATATTATTTTTTGATTGGAAAAAAGTTGTGAAGGTTAAGTACAAACAATGCGATTCTTAACCTAGCGTTATTCGATTAAATTGAATAAATAAAATTAAGTAGCTTGTAAATTAAAACGAATTTAATTCGATTGTTAATTACATTTTTATATTATTTGTGATAAATTTAAAGTAGTTATTGTTTTCATGGTAAGAATTTAAATATTCTAACCTAAACAATTAATAGTAACCTCTGAAAGGGATACCAAGATAACTTCATCTGTTACAATGCTTTGGGAGCTTCTAAGTTAAAATAAATAATCTTTTTTTATAAATTACATCGATATTTATTTACAATAATTGTATTACTCTGATATTTTTTTGATTAGAAACATTTGTTATAATATTTAATAAGAAGAAATTCTGTAAACAATACAAATAAATGAGTTGAAAGGTTTATACAGTAATAAAGGATTGTATTTAAGTTTAATCATATAAAATTTATTTATTTATAATATCCTTGGTGGTACTACAATACTGCGTAATTATAAATTGCAATATCGCGTAATTTCATTTTTTAATTAATACCGCGTAACTAATACTAAAAATATAATTTTACATGAGCAAGAAGAAATGTAATTTATATTTAATAATGAACAAATCGCCTTCAAATTAAATTTATTCTCTCAAAATATGATTATTTATCATACAGAAGGCTTGATTTATTGATTTAATTGAATAAACAATATAAAATATTGCAAAAAAATGTCAATATTAATTTTTGCCTATTTAATATTTTGTAACATCTGATGAATGTTATAGGTGTAAATCTATTTAAGCTCCTCAAATATGAGATATTAGACATAATTATTTAAATTATAAAAATATTACATCATGCTTCTTGAGCTTGGAGGTTAATAAATTGAATAGTTATTAAAATAACTTCTTTTCAGTTAAAATTGTTTTTTAATAGTATAATTAATGTTGAAAAATTTTTATATTTATAATTAATTTTCTATACCTTTTTTTAAAACATTCTATTTAAAAATTTTGTACTTATTTTATTTATTTATTTATTTATTTAATAAAGAAACCCAACAGCCTAGGCTATTAACAGGGTTAATAGTACAGTAGTTAGTATACAAAAATAGTTTTTGATGTATGCCAAGATGACTTATAACTAGTATAGTGATTTCATATATATATATATATATATATATATATATATATATATATATATATATATAAACTCCAAAATGCTAAGTGAATGGTATAGTGATGAGTTAGCTAGTGCAACTCATTCATGATAATAATAGAAAGAAAGAAAAACAAAAAATAAAGTATTAATAAAGTATAAAACAAAATAGCAATATAAAATAGCAATACTCCTTATTGCCAATACACAATTGCACATCGTCAACGCCACTTAATCACTAATTTGCCAAGTAATGCTGTTACATATCCATGAGGACAATCAAGCGGATCGAGTGAAGCTTCTAATTGACAAAAACGATTCACTGTACTGGAGATGCGATAAATCGGTGCTGCCTGAGATAAGTTAGATTTAGCAATAGGTATATACATTATTGCTTGACTTCTTATGCCTAAGACTGGTATCTTAAATTTAAACAAAGATAGCAGTTGAGGACAGTTCACCAAGTTATTAAACAGTTTAGTTGCAAAGGAGAATTCTGTACATATTCGTCTTTCATCAAGAGTAAGATATTCACACTCATTGCAGAGCGTTAGATTTGCAATTCCCCGAGCCGGATAATGTCCAGTTCTTTTCCAAATTAAGAATTTTAAAAATCTTCTTTGAACTCTTTCAATCTTAGTGATCTGTCTTGACTGAGTGGGAGACCATACCAGCGAAGCATACTCGAGTTTCGGTCTAACAAAGGTATTATACAATAGCCTAATGGCATAAAAATTATTAAAGTTTTTTGAAATTCGAGTAATGAACCCTAGGGTTTTCCATACTTCAGATATAATGTTGCTCATGTGCATAGCAAAAGTAAGTTTACTGTCAAACGTTACTCCAAGTATTTTGGCTGTGGTACTTTTATTTAAAATTTTACCAGACATGTTATAATTAAAGGTAATAGGATTTTTATTTCGAGTGATTGTTAAAATGATGCATTTATCAGCATTTTGATTGAATTGTGACAGAAGACAGTATAGGTTATAATTGTAGTTACGTGGTTTTACCACAGCAAATATAATGCTAATGCAAGTAACGCATTATTGTATAAAATAGTTTTTTAAATGAAAAAAAAAAAATTTTTGTTTTATTTTTGTGATTACCAAAAAATTTAGAAAAAAAAATTACATAATTTGGGTACAAAATTTCATTTTTGTTACTTTTATACTTACGGGGTATTGCAGTATCATCAACGATGTGTATATTCTTCTTTGTTATGAAATATTTAAGTTTTTATCGATTATTAATAAGCCAAATTGAATTATACATAAACATAAATAAAATTTGTTTATTTATTTCTTCTTTGTACTAAAAATTTTTTATTGTAGAAAATGAGCAGTCATTTGTTAATGCTCATAGTAGTAACGATTGTACACGATTTCATTGTTTCTTTGTTCCAGATTTGTCTAAAAAATAATTTCTTACATTACACACATATGTTATAAATAATATAAGTTAATAAACAAATAAACATACCCATGTAAAGCCATTTACGAAACATTGCAATTGTATCGGGTTGCTTTCCTCCGTGTGAACATATACAATACATTTATACTCTACCGGAACGGATTTCGAAATCGGCGTATATTTAATTTTCTTCTTCACCTGCACAATATAATCTACTAAAATAATGTACCGCCTCTCTTCATCAACAATCTCCACCTGGGCTTTGAGGATGCTGCTGTATTGATAAAAAAGTTCCACTCTTCGTACAAGCTTGGAGTCCGCTTTTATGCAGTTTTCTATAATTGTTTTATGTTCCCCCCTCAAATCAAGACCGTACCAGGCTTTTTCGGCGAAATATTTAACATCGGGGCTATTTGGCTCAAGAATCAATTTGTCAGTAATGTTGGAAAGTTCTGCGGTTATGATCACGAGGTATGTGAAAATCCATATTTTGATAAAAAAAAATTTTTTCATTTTTTATTAATTTTTTCAAGTGCTTATAATTCTAATTCTGAAAGTATACTACAAAAACTCTAAAAATTACTTTAATAATTTTTATTTTTTAATAATTTTTGACGTCATTGTCAGTGGTTTGATAAGATATCATTAATAGCTTTGTTAATTAGTAATTGAACGTATTAATTTTTAAGTACTCGGTGAAATTACCAAGATAATGTCAATCGAAACACTTAAGTTGCGGCTTATAGAAAATTTTATATGCAATTTATTAAGAGTAAAGTTCTTGAAATCTCCGTCTTTGGCGCTGACCGTGCTATCCGAGGGCATATTAATTATTTCTGAGAGAACTATTAACAATAATGTTAATATTCAATATTACTTTAAGTTTAAAATAAATCTTAAAAAAAAAAATTTAAGATAAAAGCAATAAGAATAACTATCATATAAATTTTTATTAAATTCTAATTAGTTAAAAAATTGAAAAAAAATTACTGTCAGTTCAAAATTTTAAATATTAATTATTAAAAAAAAAATAAAGTTACCACCAGTTCATCAAACCAGCTAACAAGCGTCTATTTTCTTAACAACTTTGATTAGAAAAGCATTTTTTTTAAATGCCGAGTTTAAATTAATTTCTTCATCTAATTTTATAATCTTTTTTTTTTTTTAATTAAAAATATATGAAAAATTTATAAAATTGAATAATCGAAATTAATTGTATGGTTCATAATACTTCAATAATAGGTGTCAATAACTAGTTCATAATTTTTAAGTTGAATCTCATATTGACAGCCAGTCGATCGATAGCGCTATGACGCTTTTTTTTACTTTACTAACCTAAAAAATTTATTATAAGAGTTTGAACTTTTCTGATTCAATAAATTATTTTTAAATTAATTTTTATATTTTTAATAGTAATTAATTATTTATGGAAATTATTATTTATAAACTTTAATAATATTGATTACTTAATAATAAGTTTTGATAAATAAGAATAAGCAGATGATTCGACGCATGCGCAGTATAGGTGTTAATAATTGGGGTTGTGTGTCAATAGTTAGATCAATCAGTTTTTTGACCTGTCAAAAATTGGTGTATCCAGATAATCTATTTGATTATATATTTAGAATTAATTAGTAAATATCACTGATTATCATTTAAAAAAAAAAAATTGGTTAGTAAAAACATTACTTGAGACATTACCACAAACAAAATTCAACGATATTGATATTTGATTGCTAAAAAAAAAAATAAAATCATAACTTTGATTTTTATAGAGTCAATAATTGGGGCTTTTACCTTATTTAAAATTTTTTTCTTGTAAGATTAGCGAGTCACGAAAATTTTAAAAACTTAATTGCAAATAAGTGACATAATTTTTTGCAAAAAGATTGTTGAAATTGAGGTGAAGAAATAAATAATTGACAGTTTTATTATAATTAATTTTATTACTAATATTATTATCAATAATAATTATCAATTAATATTATAATTTTGTATAATCATTATAATTAACTTTAATTTATTTTAGTTTTTTTTATTTTTATTTTTTATATACATAAAACAAATTGTATGTATACGTAATTATTTACAATAATTGAAACCTTCAGAAATTTATTATTAAATTTATAACTTATCTAAATTAATTAAAACAATCTATTTTTTAAATAAATTAATTTACTTTCATTTGATCGATTTTTATCACGTATTTTTAAATTATCAATAACTCATGATCATGACGATAATTAATTTAATCTTTCAACAAAATTTTTTTTATTGCACACTCTTAAACAATAATTGATTTCATTCAAGCATGTTTCTTAGTAAATTTGTTCACATAACAAAAGAAAAAAAATACTTAATTTAAAATTTATTTAAATCGATTGTTTAAAACAAATTTATAAAAACCAATTTTCACCCTTAAAAACTTAATAATTATTTAGTATATAATAAAATGATTAAATCGATTGAGAAGGTTTCAATTATTTAAAGATGTGATGATTTATAGAGAACAAAATGAATATCTTTAAAAAAAAGAACTATTAAATTAAGATAAATTAAATAGTAAAAAAAAATAGTGAGGGAAAATTTTATTATAAATAGTATTAAAAATTTAATGAGTGGGTAGAAAAGAGGAAAAGTAAGATAAGTTGTGAGGAGAAAAGAAAAATATATAAATAAAAAATATATTCAACATTCAAAGTGATTCGTCTCCGGGCGTTGACGATGCAGAATTTCGTGATTGAATTTGACTTCTATTTGGAGAATTACTAGCAGCAACAGCAGCTTTTTGTTGTGCTGCTAAACATTGTTGGATTTGTTGTAACTAAAAATAATAATATTGTTTAATTAAATATTGTAGACCTGCATTTTTACAAATAAAAATTAAATTTTATTTGCAAAATGTCAAGAAAAAAGAAAAAAAACGATAAACTTTGTTTCAAATGAGGTTATGAAATTTTTAAAAAATATTCGTGGCTTCGAAGCGGCATCAAGTGGTTTGATATCGAATTATTATTTAAAAATTATAGTTAGAAGATAACTTTTTAACTTCCCGTTAAGAAAATTGAAAATTTTCCACTAAAGGGAAGTTATTGATTTCGGTCCGATTTTCGAAAGTCAAGTTTTCATCGGATCTCCACGTTTTGAGGTCCCATGAAGCCATTCTGACTATTCCCGCCGAGGTGTCCGGCCGTGTGTGTGTGTGTGTGTGTAAATAAATTTTTGTCGTACGGTTTCCCAAAAAAGAATCAACCGATTGAATTCTACGATACGTCATTCGAAAGGGTTAGATCTGATTAGATTTTAGAGTTAATCCATCGAGCCATTCCGAAGAAATTAAAAAAAAGAACCAAAAAAAAAATTTGAATTTTTATGTTTTTTTTTAAATAACTTTAGTGGGTGCGGAAAAATCATAAAAAATGTATACGTTTTTTGTACTTAAAAAACTGCGTCGAATGCATTTTTGAAAATGAAAATCTAAAAACGCATTTAAAAGTTATAGTTGTTTAAAAATTCACAAAATTTTGTTTTTCGGTATTTTTTTAAGATATCTTCGAGATTTCTCAACCAGTCAATATGAACCTATACATTTTTTTTTGTGCTTTAAAAACTGCGTCGAATACTTGTTTTAAAAAAAATCGAACGACGCATTCAAAAGTTATAGTCAATCAATAAATACGGTTATGAAAAACGGTGATTTGAGCTTCTAAAGCTCAAATGTTAACCAAAAAACATAACAATAAATAATTTAGCCGACATTTTCGATTTTTTGATTTTGCTTCATTTGTTAAATTAAAATTAAAAAAATTTTTTTTTAATTGCACTTATAGCTTTTCAAATTTTTTACAAATGAAATTTAAAAAAAATTTTTTTGCCATATTTTTTTTAATAAAAAAAATTCTAAAATTTAAGGCGCTTCAAATTCAAACTTAGCGGGAAGTTCTAGGGTTAACCTGCGCGGTCAACCGATTTCCAAATTTTTTTTCAGGAAACGACATTTTGAATAAGTGAATATTTTTAAATATTCGTTTTTCTATGATTTGATTGTTTGAAAATTAATTTGAATTCTGAAAAAAAAAAAAAAATTTTATTGTAAAAAATTAATATAGGAGATAGAAAATGATAAACTTTGTTCCAAATAAGGTTATGAAACTTGTAACTATGGTTCGCGCGCTTCGTGTTACCTCTAGCGATTTGTTAAGAAACTATACTCAAACGCAAAAGCATTAAACTACAAATTAATGTAATGATTTACCTGTTGTTGTGATATACTGGCAACATTAATGCCCTGAGTCTGTTGATTAACTATTTGATTATTAACATTAGCACGCGCGTGCAGTGATTTAGTAAGGAGTGTATGTTTGTTTGCAGGTACAGCTTGGGAAGACGGCGTCGCTTGAGTCGCCATAAGCACTGGTTTTGATGCTTAAATATTGAGAAATAAATCCAATCAATTTTTACTGACAATAATGATAATAATTTTATGCACAGTTGAAAAAAAAAATAGTTACCCATTATTGGAGTTAACACCTGTTTATTACCAGATAATATCAATTGGCTAGCAGTAACTGTTTTAGCAACAGTTACCAATTGATTAGGAAGAACTGTCGATTTAACTTGATTAGCTTGTACTTGTCGTGTTAATTGATTAAGACGCGGTCTTTGTGATCCCACTAATTGTATTGCTTGTCCACCCTAGAAATTATCACATGGTTTCAGTAAAATTTGTTTCATAGATAATAAGAAACAAAATTAATTATTAATTAAATTTTACCTGAGAAAGTGTTACAGCACTAGTATTACGTATATTTTGATGTGTTATATTTTTTACACCTGATGGTATTATTTGAGCTGAAATACCAACTTAATATATTAATATTTTATAATTAGTCAAGATAATATTTATTTAACTTATTTAAAACTTTTACCTAAAGTTTGTCTGATTTAAGAAGAATGACCAACAAATAATTTTTGTTTCAAATATAATCTAACTTGCACTGAGAAAAAAAATTTATTTTGAAAAAAATGCGCATTTTTGTGACAAGAAAATTAATTTGTTGAAAATTTTCAACAATTTTATTTTTTAGCTGAAGAAATCAAAATTTTTCTCAGTAATTTTCTTGTTAAAACAATTTTAGAAAGACAACTTGCGAATTTTCATCTGAATTGTTTTTTTTTAAGTCGAAAAAAATTTTTTTAGAACAAGAAAATTACTGAGAAAAATTTTGATTTGTTTAGCTAAAAAATAAAATTGTTAAAATTTTTCAACAAATTATTATTAGATTAATTTGTTATTACACTGATATTTTTCAAGACAATTTTTTCTCTCAGTGTCGTAAACATTTTCAACTACTTTGTTTTGAATATTTCATACATGTTTGTATCTTATATTGCCATGCTCAATACAAAGATGGTATCTGCAATCCAATTTAATAAATTTATAAGTGCAAATTTTGACTTACTAGTTCTTTAAATTACCGATTAAAAATCAAAAGACTATAAACAGTAATTTACGAAGAAAATAGATTGTTCTTTGATTTTTTTAAGTTTAATTTTAAGCTATTGATAAATATATATCTACCGAGATATTAAGAACGTATCGTGTGCTTACTTTAACTTTTGCTGACGTATTTATTGTCAATACCAAAAAAATCAGTTTGTTTTTTTTTTTACTACAGATTTATGCTCTCATATTTATATATGAAAAAAGAAAGGGATATTTTTATAGAGTTAATTTTAATTGAACATTTACTTATTTTTCTCAACTATAAATCAGGAGGGGCGTTAAAATTTTATAATCTAATGTTTAAAAATCATTTCTTCAAATCTCAGTTACCACCTTTGTTACAAGCACAACAGTATATAACCTAATTTCAGTCTTAAAATAGTAGTCTGGTAACTCATGCCATTTTTCATGCCTATTTTCCGGAACTCTTTTTTTTTGAGATAGAAAAAATAAATCGTTTTGAATTTGTAAAAAAAGAATACAGAAAAATTTTTTTTGAAGATATTTAATTTAATAATATATTATTATTGTTAAAAGAGCGTATATTTTTGTATAAGACCTTTTGGCATTAGTAACGCGATATATTATCTTTAAATTATAAATTTTTTAATTCTAAAATTCTAGCTTGAAAATTGCACAAAAATAAATTCTTATTTAAGGTAAAGTACCCAGTACTTGAACACTTCTAAAAATGGGACCAGTAGTTGAACAGACTTTTAGAATTGCTGTAATACAAAATCTGTATATATATATTATGAGTAATATGCGCATGTTATAATTATTCAATATGATATAGTAATTGATTTTGGTAAGTTTTTTCAATTATAAATCAAAACAATTATATTTTTGTTAACTTAAAAGTTAACATGTCGGGAATAGCCGATAGATGCTATTTTTTTCGTGAAAAAGGCACTAAACCGTAAACCGAACAATCAGTAAAAAAAAACGGTATATCATCATTTTAAGTCAAAAAAATTGTACCACCCAACGAAATAGTCTTTTCTAAATAATAGATATTTTTTGCAAAGACATAAACTATAATTTTTGTACTAAATTTTAGCGTCTAACTATACCTCTAAATTTTCAAAGCGGTACCCAGAACCTGGGACCGTATACTTTTAACAGCACTCTAACCTCTAATAGGTTTATAGACTAGTGATCAGCATTGTGATTTGTACTAATTACTGCAAATTAAATAAATTTTGTAGCTTAAAATTAGTGTAGTTAAAACTTATTGAACGTTTTGAATTGAGTTTTTTTGATTTATAATTGACAAATTTACTTTGTCATTCATAAAAAATGTAATTAAAAAATTAAATGCAAATATTCTCATTTTTTAATGAACATATTAAATATTCATAGTATTATTTTTAATGTTAATCAACAATATGTTACAATTCTTTTGATATTTCAATAAAACGTTGCAAATTTTTGCTGTGCCCATTGCCATATATTCTATTAGTTCAACTACTGCTCCCGGAGTGTTCAACTACTACGGCTTGTCAGAATTGATTGTTCAACTACTACTCCTTTCATAGTCTATCTTAAAAACTTTGTCAAAATATAAATTTTCAATTATCGGCGTTATTTTGCGCTTCAATCAATTCAAAATTGTTAATATTTTCATGAAAATCACTGATTTGAACTAATAATTACATCTTTATTAGGGTAGCGCAAAAAAACCGACTATTTTTTTTTTTTTGAGTCTCGACTGAACAAATGTTAGTTTTTGATGTTTTAAGAGTCTTCTCCAAAGGATAGCTCAAAAAAAATTTTTCAGAGGTCGCTCCAAATTTTTTTGAATTTCAAAAATCGTCAAAAATCGAATTTTTTTTTCTCGTTACGGTATGATTTTATAGACAAAAAAAAAAATAAGTTTCTGAAAGTTTCAGTTCAAAATTTAAACTCTGAAAGGTCGCTCGTAATTTTTTTTCTTTCTTCAATTAATTATTATTTAGAGTCGGTTTTAACTGCTGTGGTCATATCGCCGACTTTAACTATTGGGAGTGGTACGTTAGGGTCTGTTTAGTTTGTGAAAATCTTAACCTACGCGGCAAGAGTCAAATCTCAACCAAGCTGGCTTCTAAGACCAGCTTGGGATTCGAACCCATGCCTGGCCGGTGAGTTATTGAAATATTGTTAAAATGTTGTAGTTGATTAAATAAAATTATTAAATTAAAAAAAAATTATGTTTTCTATATTGTGCTTGATTTTTAGTTCATCTCGCGGTGTATTTTTATCGATTATTGTACTAAATAAAAAAAAAAAAAAATGCATAGAATTTTAATTTGAATATTAAAAGGTCGCTCGAAAAAATCGAAAGTAATTCATTAATAAATTAAAAAAAATTATGAACGACCTTTCAAAATTTAAATTTTTAACTGAAACTTTCAGTAACTTATTATTTTTTGGTCTATAAAATTATACCGTAACAAGAAAAAAAAAATTCGATTTTTGACGATTTTTGAAATTTAAAAAAATTTGGAGTGACCGATGAAAAATTTTTTTTTGAGCTTTCCTTTGGAGAGGGCTCTTAAAACATCAAAAACTAACATTTTTTCATTCGAGACTTGAAAAAAAAAATAGTCGGTTGTTTTGCGCCACCCTAATCTTTATATATTAAAAGAGTAGGGTCAAATACGTTTGACCTTGAAACCTGTTCAACTACTGGGTACTTTACCTTATCTTAATCTTAAAAAAATAAAGTTTTATTACCTATTGGCAATGATAAATGAGTATTGGCAGGATTAGCTATCACAACAGTAGGATTGGATCCTGCACCTGCTGTAGTAACAGCAACTGTAGCGGCGACCATCTAAAAACAAAATAATGAAAATAATTATGATTATAACATTAAAAAAAAAATAAACAAATACTTACACTAGAAACAGTAGTACAAATATTGGTAGCCGACGAGATCGGGAGCGAAACAATGACCCCTGAGGGCGTAACCGAAGCCGTAGCAGCCGAAACATTGATAGGCATCGTAATAGGAGAACTCAAACCAGGAAAAGAAACCTGTACATTCTGCAATCCGTTGATAGTATTAGGTAGACTAGTTAAATTAACACCCTGGATAACTCCCTGCGTAGCAGCCGCCGGTGGAGGAGAGGTCATTGGACTAGCCGGTGCGCTCCCTTGACTCGTCAATCTCTCTAACAACGAGCTCGCATTGTTGATGTTTGGCAATGGATTATCAGCAGACGGAGTCCCCGCCAGGAGAGCGTGGAGTCCCGGCATCGCCAATCCCAGCGCGGAAGTGTTATCCTGAACTCTTGCTAGCCTCACAGCCGTAGCTTTAACCGGTTGCTGCTGCTTGGCAAACTGGCTCGTCAACGCAGAGCTAAAACTTACTCTAACCTGTCCCGAGGTGTTCGGGACCGTTATCACGTTACCAGTTCCCAGCATTCGCTGGGGTATCGAAGCGTTCAATGATATCCTGCGAGTCTTTTGTTGATTACAATTCGGACTGTTCAGCAGACTCAGAATAGCTGCATTGTTATTCTTCTGCTGAACCTGAACCTGGGGCACCTGCTGCTGGATCTGCGGCACCTGGACCTGGGACACCTGAGGCACCTGGATCTGCTGCTGAAGTACATTAACATTATTGTTATTAAGAACAGCAGCAGCCGCAGCGGCTTGTTGATTCTGCTGGAATTGCTGAGCAGAGTTCATCAGCGACGTCACTAAAGCGTTTATCGCCGGGTTAGAGTGTTTCTTGTACCCAACATCCTGGCTCGTTTCCCCGTGAGACGGCGCTGCTAGCGCAGCCTGCAGAACCGGAACTTTCTGGGCATTGTTGACCGACTTCTGGAACACGAGAATCCCCGAGCCATTAACTTGGCTATCATCGACGCCGTTTTGCTGCTGAACCTGAACCTGCGGCTGAACTTGAACTTGCTGGTCATCATTTATCTTAATAACTTGCCCTAAATTGTTGAGTTGTCCCTGAGCACGTGATATTATCTGCGCAGCGGCGTTCTGCGCTTGGATTTGAGCAGCCAGCGCCGCCTGGGCAGCTTGAGCCGCTTGGTGGCGCTGCAATCCAGGGGTACAGGTTACCCTTGCTGGTTGTCCTGGCACGACATGTTTTATGCGAACATTTTTCCGGCCTTCCTCGGTGAATATCTCGGTAAACTGCTGCATGTAATGGTTCGCTTGCACGCGGGTTCCAAGAGTGAAGCGACAGGCAGAACCGTTGCGCTCCCCCTCGCGGTAATCCCGATCAACGTAAAGCTCACCGAGATATTCTGAGTTTGATGGTCGCTGGAGGATCGACAGCTTTATGTGATAGACGCGGCCTTGTCCGCGTTCAGTCTCGAGGATATATTCTTCAATTAATATTGGTAAGCAGTCTTTTGTTTCACGCGGGCGCTCGTACGCTTTCGCGTATGTAAGAACATCTATCGGCGATGATGGCGGCAGTAACGGCGGACTTATCAACTGCGGTGCGGGACAAGATGTAGAAAGTAACTGGCCACGCTTGACACGCACACGCTGCATCAGATCTTGGATGGTTATTCCGTCGTTCGCTGATGACAGTTGTTCCAGTTTTCTTTTACGATTTACGGTCACTTGAGAGAATTTCTTCGCCTGTCGCTGGAGAGTCGTGTCTGTGCAGATGGACCTTGAGGAACGGACCCGGGCAGCAGCTATTGTCGGCGCTGGGTCCGGGTCTAGGCACAAAGGGCCCTGAGTTACTTGAAGAAGACGTGACTCGAGTAGAAGACGGTCTTCGTGGCTCCAATCTCCGTCGCTTGTTAGAGTTGTTATGTCGGTTAAGATGCTCTGAGTCGTTGGTTTAAGTAATACGTGATGAACCTCTGCTTTACCGTGAAATAAATTTTTACGGTAGTCTCTTACTTCTGCGATTATACACCCGTCGTAGAAGAGATGAGAATTTGTGTACTCCAATTGTTCTGCTAAGGATGATGGTAGTTGCCCGTTGTCGATGCATGATAGCAATTCGCCTTGTTCGTAACCCATTAGTTGGGTTTCGGCGAATGAGTTTTTATCAAAATCATTTTTATTGCTGGCAAAATAAAAAAAGTTTTTTAGTTAGTAGTTTAGTTGCTGGTTTATTTACTTTAACTTTCATCAGCATAGCTTTTTTGGATAATATAATGATTTTAAAAAAAATTTATTAAGGGGGACCACTAGCGTAAAATTTTCAAAAATCGATTTTTTTATGCTTTTTCTGTTTATACTTTTAAAAATAATTAGAATTTTTATTGTGTGCAAAAATAGTTTTGAGTTACAGTCTTTTCAAGAGACTGTTAATCAATCAGAAAGATAAGTACGTTACTTTTATCTTAAGGGATTTCACAGCTTCAAAAAATATATTTTTTATTTATTGTCATTAAATTCTACAACATCTTTAGAATATTATCCTGAAATTTCAAGTCGATCCGAGTAATAGTTTTGGAGATACAGTTTTAAAAAATTGCGCACCCAAGGCACTGTTATAAAGTCACTCACAACTTTAAACGCGTTTCTCTCAAAACTGTGTTTTCAAAAACGGTTGTCAACATTTCTCGAGAACTACTCGACCGATCTTGATGAAATTTTAGACAGGTCTCCGAGATACAATTTACAAGGATTTGGACGAAAGATTTTTTTTTTTCAATTACAACTATTTAAAAAAAAAAATGCCGCGAAATTTTAACCAAATTTTTCATTTTTTCGTAAAGACCTCTGCCAAAAATCCAATTTTCATTTTTTTTTCCTTTGTCCAAGTTCTAGTTTAAAGTTTTAACTAAAGCACATATTTTTTTTTTCACTTCAAATGATCCTGCCAGGATTTCGGCTGTCAACGCGGACGTATCTTTTTTCCGAAGGCTCGCCGGAAATGACTTTACAATAGCAGAGTTTTTAATATTTTTTTTTCAAAAATTTCAGTAATCCGTTATTAAATATATCTTTAAGACAGTAAAAAGTTTGAATTAAATATTTCATTTTTTATATTAAAAAAAAATAGTTAAAAATAGGCCATTTTTTCCCGGAAGAAACCCATGTGACTCCTTAAGAGGTCATTCTGGTTTAAAACTTTCAAAAAAAAATTTTTTTTTCACATTTTTCGAAAGTACATACGTCTAAAAGTATTGTGTTAAAATTTCTAAGTGATCGGACCACTGTAACTAGAATATATTACGATGTTTATGTAGATCTTCGAGTGGACGAGAATCAAATTTTTGAAAAGGCTGAAGGAATTTTGTATAGTCCCGGCATCGCTAATTGACTTTAGGTAAGATTTTGGTTTTTTAATGAAAAAAACTTTAAATGTGTTTATCTGAGAACTATGTTTTTTTGGTTGACGTACATGATTATCTCCGGGCCTACTGATCCGATATTAATGAAATTCAAACCACATATTCTTCATGGTAGTAACTATTGCATCAGCTCCAACTAAATCAAAATTTTGATTTTTACTATTTTTTTAGGACTAAAAACTGTAAGAGAAAATCTCATTGCTTAGTTTTTTTTTTTTTTAAGTCCGTCATTTTGTTATTTATCAATAAATACTAATTTTCGTAGCTGTTGCAATAACTACTTATATATTTAACATAATAAATTTTGGTTTTTGTGTTCAAGATGAGCCGGTATCAAGTAATCATGTACGTTAGCGACATAGCAACTTTTGGAGGAGCTCCATTCACCCGTTGTTTATTCATATAAAAAATAAAAATAAATTTAAATATTTTTTGTGTTATTTAAGAGTATATTCACTGAGTTAAATAAACTTTATATTAATATCTATAATAGTTTCTGGATAAAAAAATCATGAATATTGTTTTTTTTCGAACGTCGGAACCAGAGTGAAGCCTTAAACTACGTTCGTTTCAAAATTACGTTCAAACAGATTTTATTTTTTTATCTTTTTCAGTACTTAATTCCCTATAAACTGTTATTCCAGTATATAACTTATATTAGTGGTGCCACTTAAAGGTTTCTATTTAATTAAAAATAATGATATTTCTTCACGCGTCTTGTAATATTGCATCGAGGATTCCATGCTGATGTTTGTTAATTAAAATGAGTTTACTACTTACTTATTTCTTACAGCTAATGAGTATCCTTTATTACCGGAATAAAGATTAACAATAAGCGTATGTAAACCTTCTCTTTGTACAAGTCTACCAAGTAGGTCACACTCATTTTCTAAATTACACTGTAACAAAAAATTTTTACTAATTTTTTAATTGTTGTTTTGAATCCTTCAATTTTAGTAATAAGTGATAGCTGTTTGAAAATTTTGTTTCAATCACTACATAGTATTTACTACTACTATTTTAATGTTAACATAAAAATAACCTACACCGGTTAATAGCTAATATTTAAATTAATAGGACAAATTTATTGAAGAAATGTGTTAATTAAACTTAAAAAATCAATTTTAGTCCAACTAATAAATAATACTAGCAACCTGCAGTTACCGTGCGATTTCAAAGATTTACGGATTATGAATAATAAAGTTTTGGCTTAATTATTTTTTGATATGTCTAATCACATTACAAGTATTGGGTAATTTTTAAGTAAATTTGAAGAATAATAGAGCTATGACAGGGTCAATTACAAATCATGTCATGGAAAATGAAACGGAGCAAATTTATAGAACCAAAAAACTATTCAAAGCTGCTCCAAAAACTTAACATAAAAAATTTACTATCACTGAAAATTATATAAACCCGTAAAAAGGCAAGAGTTCTTATCAAGACCTTCCTGATCATACCAAATTTAACTATAAAAATTCGTTTCAAAATAATAATATGCTCGTCACAAAATTTCCTTACTCTCTCAATTATTTATATCATAAATGACTATCGTTGAAAAAAAATATCAAAACTAATTTACGATAAAAATATACGCGTTAAAAAATTTTTCTTAGTATCTTAATTATGTAAATTAATTTTTGAGCAATAACCACATTCATATGTACAAAACAGAATAAATAAATAAAAAAATGATGTTTATCACGAAATTCGAATCTATTTAGAACTACTTTGAAAATTTATCATAATAAATTAGCTTTTTCTGAAAATTCAGGTCTAGACTTCTCTAATGATACTAAATTTAATTTAAAAAACTCATTTTATCATATAAATGCACTGGAGTCAAAATTTTTCTGATTCTCTTAGTTATATAGATGAGACAAATCATGTTTAGATCACAATATTGAAATTAGCAGACATCTGACAATTTTTAGAATTTTACTCAACAGTTCATTAGAAAATAAATTAGAAAAAAAATTCCACATGTAGAAATTTTATAAAACTTTGAATGATATTTTTATAAAATATTTTTTCACTAGCAATTTATTTCTGAAGTAAAATTAAAAATTATTAGATGACTGCTGATTTCAGCATCATGTTTAGATACAATCATATATAAATAAAAAAGCCGGAGACTAAATTTTCCTTCTACTCTTAATTATATAGATTATTTGACCTGTCAACTATTGATATTTTTTACTAATCTCTACATTCCGGATTTCAATAAAGACTACCAATCGTTAAGACCCTATTTTATTTCACGATTTATTTAATTACGATATTAAAATAAAATATTAATTAATAAAAAAATCAAGTTTACTCAAATTTCTTTCGACGTGAGCAAAAAATTCTGTAACTATTTTGAAGACGACCGCTCTTTTAAAAAGCTCATTTTTAATTATTTCTACTTCTCACATTCTATTTTTTTTTTTTCTAATACTTAAATTAAATATGAAAAATCAACAACATTAAATATTAACCATTGATTCAATTGTCATTAATTTAAAAATTATATCAATAATTGGCTCATAAAATTTAAGTTACTTCACATCGACCGTAAATTTTTAAACTTGAATTGTAAGTAGCGCGGTAATTTTTTATTTTTATTTAAAAGATCTTTTTTAAAAATATTAAATATAGTTTGAATAATAACTCATAAATAAATATTTATTTTTAATACTTGATTTGTACTTAGTTCAACAAACTAATGACTTTTGGTGTCAATGATTGGTGTATCTAGGTAATTGACTTTATCATTTGAAATAAATAATAAAATTTGAAGATTGTTAAAAAAAATTAATTGTTCCATTCAAAAGTCTAATTAATAATGTTAAAAAAAAGGTAAACATTTACAAGTGGGGTCAACCATTTTAAATTTCATTTTTTTGAACGAAATTTTTATTTGATTTTATTAATATATTTTTTTTTTTTTGAAAAATACATAAAAAATGAACAATTTAGAAAAAAAAAGTTGATCATCACAATTTTAACAGATTTAAAAAAAAATTATAAATTTTTTAGAAAATTATGATATTCAACTTTTTCTTTTTAACTGTTCGTTTTTTGATGTACTTTTCAAAAAAAGATAAAATAGGAATTTTATCCAAAAACATGAGAGCCAAAATTTTTTCCAACATTTGAAAGCAAAAAGGCTATCGAAATCTTTATTTTTTTCTTTCACGACATTTTTTATCATAAATGCGCCATAAAATCAAGAATAAAAAAAAATTTGAAAATTTCAATTTTTCACCTAGTTATGGCCCAAAATGAGGTTGACCTCACTAGTAAATAATTACCCATAAAAATTGTAATCTTAACCGTGCCAATAATTGGAGCTCTAATTTCATATTGTAACGACAATTTACATTATTTTTCCTCCTTTATTGAAATTTAAATATCAATAGCTGATATAAACTTAGAACTATTAAAATTTGTATTAAAAAATAAACAGTAAATCAAAAGGAAAAATACTCTTAACCGGTCAACTACAGATGTATTTGAATTTCCACTGCTCAATTAATACTTCTTAGTGTATTCATTAAGAAAACCAAGACTACATTGGTATAAACAGAATTTTTCTATTTTTCTCAACCAGATCTTTTGATTAATAGAATGAATAGCTATTAATTATCAATTACCAAAACAGAATCAGGCGTCGCATGTGGTACTTTGGACAACTCTTCAAAATAAAGCCGCGTCAATCTAGCATGAATACTATGCTTTGAATGACCAGCGAGACTTTTCTGCATAAATGACGTCGAGGTTTTTTCAAATCCATCTTTCAAGTTTTTCGTCACTTGGTTTATCATGTCCTAAACAAACAAAATCAATTAGAACAAAATTAGTTTATATCAATTATGATACTGAAATTAAATGTCTGGTCATTTTTAAAATTTTATTTATAAATAAATTAGAGTAAAAAAACTCCATAAATAAAAGTCTAATATCGAAAATTCCCAATTTTTTATCCAATTCTATAAACAGAATTTACGGTGAAAATCAAACATCAATACACGCGGTTTTGAAACCATGCGTGCAATTTTAATTTTTGAATAAAAAATCGGGTATAATTTCAAAATAGTCTTACCTGTGCACGCTGATAGGATTCCTCAACGCCCGAGGTAGTGCCCATCATTATGGACATTTATGATAACTCATCAAGATCATAACTCATTCATCTCATAAATAATTACCTACAACAATGAACAACAATATTATTACTATTATTTAAACTAAATGAAAAAAGATTGTTGAAAATATGGAGAAATTTTAGGGTTACAAGTGGTCACTGAAAAACATTAATTTATAAGATAATAATAAATGAAAAATAAAGATTGACTGAAGACACTTACGGGAATTATTGATAACAATAAATAGTAAAATAAAATAATAATGGTGTGTTAAGATTGACAAATATATAGAATCATAACCTCTGGTTAATATTTTGTATACTCTGGTGAAAAATCAGTGTAAGAAAATTGTCTCTATTATAAATAATATATATACACAATTAACTATATTTTTAAATATACAACACACACTTGTTCACTCAATCCATAAACATTGAATCAATGCATTGTAATTATTGTTTGTTATTAATTGTACTAAAATTATTTGTGTAAAAATAATTGTTAATATTTTTTATTATTATTTTTTTAACTAAAAGTGTCATTTTTAGAGCACTATCGTAAGTAACCTATTATACAAACACCACATAAGCACAAATGTACATTTATCGGCTGAGCTCGGGACCACTCGGGCGCTTTCGAATTAACGCACATGTGTTCGTTGTCATATGTACATGTCATGTGTGGTTATTTGTGTATGTATGTATACACGAGTATCACAGTGTAAGGGGTTGTAATTTAAATATTAAGAATTGTGCTAGAGGGCGCAGAGTTCGAATTTGAAATTTTAGTGGCGCGAAAATTTGAATTTGAGAGAAAGTGAGAAACTTTTTTTTTTTTAAGTACATAAATACTTAGGTTGGATTACATAAAAAAAAAAAATGTAATAAAATTTAATGACTTGACAAAAACTTTTTATAATTATATGCCGAGCAAAACATGCTTAATTTGATGGTATAAAAAATTCTAAATTCTTCAATTTTTTGACATTTTTTTATGACAATCAAAAGATCTTTGTTGGTGGATTCTGATATTTTTGATTTTTAATTGAAAAAAGAAAATAATTTTCTAATTTTTGAATAATAATCTAAATTATTTGTTTTCTCTAAATTACAATAATTTCATGTATTTTTCAAAAAAACAAAATGTTATTCAAAGTATTTTGAAAATAGCACTGACATGAACAGATACCTGACATTTTTTTTAATTTTTATTAAAAATAAATTACAATAAAAAATGTGTTTAAAAAATTTTTACTTTTATTTTTTTCAATTTTTGGATGAGGAATATTTTATTAAAATTTTTTCATAACAATTTAGTTATTACAAAAATCTAAAAAATTGTCATACATGCCTTTTAATTTCAGTATCATGTTTTGAAATAAAATTTTTAATTCTTTAACTTAAAATTTTTAATCTTTTTTTGAAAATGGAAATTTTGATTTTATTGAAAATTTTTACGACTGGTTAGTGTTATTTTTAACAATTTTAAAACGCAAGTTGAACATGAAATCTTTATAATTACGAGTTTTTCTAAATTTTTGAAAATTTCAAAGATTTTTCACCTAGAGAAAATAAAAATGATGTCCAGACAAGGATTTCCTTACTCAAAAATCAATTTATATAAACAATTTGATAAATGTAATTTTTGACAGAAGAATATCAATATTTGTTTTGACTATAGGCAAACAAATAAATAGCTTCACAAGAATTAAATTAAAATTATTTTAATAAATTCAAACAATTCTACAGACAAGAAAGAATTCTTCAGAAATTTTCAAAAATTTACGTTTTTATTTGAAGAAATAAATTTTTAATAAGAGTATTTTGTTTTTTTTTTTTTATAGTTATCCAATTTTTATCATGTTTTTTTTTGTAATTTTTTAAAATTTATTACGATCAAAATCTTAGAATTTACCGAAATAATAAATATTTCTCAAAATGACACTGAAATCAACAGACATATAGAGATCTAACAATTTTTAAAATTTTTCAATAATTATTTTGATGATCTGATAAAGTTTTTCCGTTATTTATCAATAAAGTATGTTTTATAGTTAACATTATTTAGAAATAATTTAAAATAATTAATTAAAATTTATTTTAAAAATATTTGATGATTTTTAGGAATATCTGTAACAAATAAATTATAGCAAAAAAATCGACATGTGGAGTTTTAAAAGTATCTGCAAACTTCAATGTCATAACTAATTATATTTTAAAAATAAATTTTTATTTAAATAAAATTTTTAATAAAAATATCAAAACAAAAATTAAAATAAAAATATTTAACTAAAAAAAAAAATTTTTTTTCTAATTGATTTCAAATATTCGCGCGTAAAATTTTTGAAATGACGTTACTAAAATTACCGTCACCTCACGGTAAATTCAGAAACTATGTAGAAAAATTTATCTCTTTAAAATTTATTATTGATAAACATATGTTTTATATTACAACGTTCAGATCTTAATGAATTTCTATTATTGTAAGTTAAATTAATTACTGAAAATAAAAAGAATAATTTTCTAAAAATGACTCCGAAAGTTAGAATATCGTCAAAAATTGTTGCGGTGAGTAAATTTAATTTGTTAATACTTTATTTACATCAATAATTTTTAACCTATCAATTAAAACTCAACGTGCCAATTTCAATTACCATCATGATTTATAATTTCAATTGGAGAATAAATTTATTTAAGGCCTCCAATTTAAAAATCAACCAACTAATATAATTTATTTTTTATTTTCTTAGAAATTAGAATGCTTGGGAGCAGCATCAACTGGCAGGTTATTCGGTGTGATGTGTGATAATTATTTGACAGTTCTAAGTTTTGTACTGAACCCAAAACTCGAGGAGATAAATGATGACGATGACCAAGAGTCGCAGCACCAAAATTCTGCACACCAAAAATCAGAGAAAAAAAAAACTAAGAAAAATGAAATATTGAAGCCGATTGATTTGCAATTGAATATGCCAGTAGAAATAGATTTATGTGGAGTACTTTTCGTTGATAATCACGAAGAAAATATTCCAGAAGCATTTAAGGATATTGACATCACTGATAATCCATTACTCATCAAATATTCTAGAGCTAGCGGTATTTCCGCTTATTATTACGTACATGAACAATTGAAATCAGCTGGAAAATTAGAGTTTATTGACGAAAAACTTTTGCTTGATAAATTCTCTTATGCTAGACTTAGGACAAGTGTGCCTATGATTACAGATAAAAATGATTTTTCTGAACTGTTTCAGTGTACCCGTAAAAATGTAAGTATATTTTTTTATTTTTAAGCCTGTAAAAGTTATAGTATCTTAACATAATGCTGCAATCAGTAGTCATCTAATAATTTTTAATTTTACTTCAGAAATGAATTGCTACTGAAAAAATATTTTATAAAAATATCAATCAAAGTTTTATAAAATTTCTACATGTGGAATTTTTTTTTTTAATTTATTTTCTACTAAACTGTTGAGTAAAATTCTAAACATTGTCAGATGTCTGCTAATTTCAATATCGTGATCTAAACATGATTTGTCTCATCTATATAACTAATAGAATCAGAAAAATTTTGATTCCAGCGCATTTATATGATAAAATGAATTTTTAAATTAAATTTAGTATAAATGGAAAAGTCTAGACCTGAACTTTCAGAAATAGCTAATTTATTATTTTAAATTTTCAAAGTAGTTTTAAATAGATTCGAATTTCGTGATAAACATCATTTTTTTATTTATTTGTTTTGTTTTGTACATGTGAATGTGGTTATTGCTCAAAAATTAATTTACATAATGAAGGAACTAAGAAAATTTGGTTTTAATTTTTTTTTTTCAACGATAAGCATTTATGATTTAAATAATTGAGATAAGGTAAAAGCCCCCATTATTAACACTATAAGAGTGATCATGAATATTTGAATTTTTTTATCGTGTTTCAAATGAATATTGTCAACTTTTTTTTTATAGGACAATCATTGTTTTTACTCATATAATTTAATTAATTAACTTTAATAGCAATACATTTAATAATTATTATATTAATTTAAAACCAACCGGTCGAATGTATGTATTATTGACAGCGCAAAAAATTCAAAGAGCCGATTGTTGACACCATTGACCCCATTATTGACAGGTCTTTTATTACAGTTAATAAATTATACTAACAATCATCATTTTTACTTACTAACGCAAAACTATCAATAATTTTTATTATTTTTAAATTCGTTTAGTTTTAAACAATGCGATTACATAAAAAAACATTGAGAAATTTGGATTTGAAAATAAGGTCTTTCTTAACGATATTATTAAGAAATTACAAACGTATAAGCAGTTTTGGCCTACTTGAATAAATGAAATTTTTTTTTCGGTAAATAGTTTATACCTTGAAATTAAATTTTACTATTTTTTAATTTTTAAATTGCCATGAAATATCAATAATTGTGATTATTAACAGATTTTAATAATGAATTGATAAAATTAAATAGGGTGTCAATAATAAGGGCCCTGTCAATAATAGAGGCTTTTACCTTAGTAAGGAAAGTTTTGTGACGAGCATATTATTATTTTGAAAGGAATTTTTAGAGTTAAATTTTGTATTATCATAAAGCTCTTGATAAGAATTCTTGCCTTTTTACGGGTTTATATATTTTTCAGTGATAGTCAATTTTTTATGTTAAGTTTTTGGAGCAGCTTTTAATAATTTTTTGGTTCTATAAATTTGTTCCGTCAAATTTATTTCAAAAGTACTTGAACTATGTAGAGTGTAATTAGAAATATTAAAAAATTATTAAGCCAAAGTTTTCTTATTCATCATCCGTCAATCTCGACAGTCACATAGTGACTGCAGGTTGCTAATTAATATTGAAATGGTAAAAACAAAAAATTTTCTATTTTTTGTGGCAAATCACGTTTTGATTGTAAGTTTCTGAATTATAAAATTTTTTGAATCATTAATAAAAATTTTTTTAGATTGCTTCCGGTACCGTTGGTTTTTACTTTCCATCAACAAAATTATTTTTAACTAACAACGACACAGAAGACCGTGAAGTCTCAGTAAAACTTTTATCATCTACCAACGCATCATTTCCCACCGGCTACACGAATACCATCGAAGTAGAAATGTTCATGTGCATTACAAAAGAAAAAACAGATGATACCAAGAAAAATTATGCACCAGTACTGCAGCATGTAAAGCAGCCATTTGTCAATTACGAATTCAATTTGAGAATTGACAGCCTAGCGCTAATTGGACACAACCAAACTGCTCCGCAAATTTACTCGATTCTCGTTGAATCAGTGTGTCGCTCGCTGCGTCTGATTGAGCGATCAATAATTCTTTCAAGTAATAACACAGTTAAAATACCTGAGATGATGCATTTTAAATTACCACACTGTGATCACTTGGTATCAATCGCTTATGCTGATACCTCTGCTGAAAAAACACGTCAGTACTTTTTTTATCTGCTAATGACTAATTCATGATTTAAAAAATTTTATGAAAAAAATATTCTTACAGAAGAGTACAGGAAGAAATTACACGAAGCGTTTGCTTGTGATTTAACGCGTCCGTACTTCCGTCCCGGGAATGCTGTCAAATTTTTAAGTGATTACAAACCTGATGAGCCATTACTAGAGCCCCATACTGCAATTAAAACTTCAATAGGTAGTGTTTAATAACATTTACTTTAAATATGAATTTATTTAATCCAATTGTTTTCTTCTTGCAGATAATTCTAGTTTTGTTAGTGGAATGTATGCTTATTATCACTACGGACAAGATAATTTCCATGATAGTGGCTGGGGATGTGCATACAGATCATTGCAAACTATTTTTTCTTGGTTTAGGTAATATAAGTTAATCAATATCATTTTAAAAGTATATTTACTAATAGAAATAGAAATTTAAGTTATTTTTTTTTATTTCCTTGAAGAAATGTTGTTCTTAACTTTAAAAATTAGAACTTTGTATTGGTTATGCAACAACGTGAATCTTCAGATAAATAATTTAGAACCGTTTGTTCGCATGCGCAGTAGACTGCTAATTTCTTTATAGAGGTTCGAGCGTAATTAATGAGTCAAAATAAGTGTATGAGATTATCAATTATTCTAATAAGAATAATCTATTCGTAAAAGAAAATATTTCCATTCGAATTTTAGCTGATTTTATTTTCTTTTTTTTGCAAAATGAATTGCTCATAATTCATTGAAGAAATAACTATTAACCTAACAACGTACTAAATTATACTCAATACGAGTGACTGAAGTGTTGAATTTAATTTTGAAACGCAGTTTGGGGTAAAAATAAAACTGCAGATAAAGCAAAATTACAGGCCGAAGATGAAACGAAATTGAGTATTATCGAAGCTAAAGTGAAGAAATAAAACTAAACAATAATTGAGACTGAAAATAAAACAAAATTTAAAGTTAAAAACAAGATGGTGTCATGTGGAGCAAGTGTATGCACTTAAGCATTCAAACTATGCTCAAAATTAAACGATAAGCATAAAAGGAAAATAAAAATATGTCTCTGATAGAGTATTTATTTAAGGAGGTTCATCGGCAAGAAAAACACACCAATAGGTTATGGCTATTGGTTTCTTTCTCACGCACTAGTGCTTTCTCTCTTTACTGACTATCGCTCATTTACTTCCACTCTCGAAAAATATCGAAAGTCACTAACTTCAAACATTTTTTATAAAAAAATGAATACCGCTCGTTTATGTTATTTTTAATAAAAAATACTTGTTATAACTTCAATTAAATATTCTCAGTTTTTCAAAAAAATCCTAAGAAAAGTATGGTTGTTATTAAATAAAATGTTCACTCTAACTACGGTCAGGATAGGGAATACATGTTAGATGTACGATTTTTAATTGCTAATATTTCGAAAATTAGCACTGCAAGGACTATTAAAAAAAATTTATTCGTATCGAGGACACTTAAAGGTACGCGTATTCAAAAATTGAAGAATATTGTAAGAAAAGTGATTTTTCACGGAACCTCCTTAAGTAATAATTAAATTAAGAAATAAAGTCTAAAACCTTAACACCGGAAAAGAATGGATTAATCCGAATGATTCAAAATGCGCACACTTACCCCGTATTAAGGATAAGTGTGCGCACTCGTGTGGGGTAAATTCGCGCAACTAAGGAAAGTTCGTGGGTTTTTAATACCCTCAGACTGATTATAATAATACTTACACAATTTTATTGAGAGATAACATAATTTCAAATGTTATGCTAAGTAAAAAGCTCAAATACATTATTGATAGAAAAAAAATTAATTTACTTTAATTACCATCCGCAGTACAGAATGGCAATTTTGGCCATAACAGTAAATTTTACCTTTACAGCACCAGATTCTCAATATTTTATTTTTCATGTAAACGAATGATATCATATCGATTTTTCTTGCATAAGCTAATATTCCATCAATAAACCTTTAATTTGCTTACACACATCACAAACTTCCTCTCCCCGTTCATAAATAAAGGGGTTGCGCATACACGGAAAAAAGTAAACTATAAAATTCACTCGGATTCCGGTTAATTTTTATAGTTTCTGACAGTGAAGCGGACATCAAGCGGCAAAAATATAAATATTACAGAGCTTAATGTAGAAAGTGTAAGAGCCACAATTTAAAATTTAATATCGAAAATAAGTGATTACTAGCTGTCACTATAGTAAATAATGACTCTCTCATCTTAAAAAATTACAGTTTCAAACAGTAAAAATTGCCGTTTCAATATATAGTCCATACTATGAGGAGAAGGGGAACTTAGATGAGGAGAAGGGGGTCTCGTTCTGGAAGAATTTAACATTTGAAACAGTAAAAATTCTACTCTTAAAATATATATTTTACCAGTCCAAGCAAACCAATAATTATAGTTTCATTTTTAGCGTTGTGTTTAAAATTTATCATTTTACTTTGTAAATATTAACGTTGCTTGTATTAGAAATTTAGTAACTGTAACTGTATTTTATAATTTTTACATATCATGCGATCATTTTTTAGGTACGAAATGATAAATATCAAAGTCAAAATTCTTAATTATTATACTTAAACATTTTAGATATTCACACAGCGAATAGTATTTTCTTCCATGTAAAGAATAAATAGTAGCATTTAAATGATGAATATTACATAGTGATTTTTAAAATCACGATTTTACTGTTTGAAATCGTAATTTCTAGCAGTTGATCATTACTGATTATAAATCGACTATTATTTATTACAGTTTACTTTTTTCCGTGCACTTATTCACTGCGCACAGTTACCCACGCTACTCTAGGTTTATTACACATTGTTTTTATTCATTAAAGTTGGAGATTAATATGAAAAATAATTATTAAATAATGGATTCACTCGAACCTCCTTAAGGAACCATGCGCGCGCATGTGCAGTAAACTCTTAGTCTTCTCGAGGAATTTCATTAGTTAAAGATGAACTTAGGGGACATCCATTAATTACGTGAGCTATTTTTCGATCAGTTTAGACTCCTCCCCCCCTTAGGTGAGATTTAGTGAGATTTGTCTGGACCCCCCTCCCCTTACGTGAGATTGACGCTAAAAATATTTTAAATTAAAATTATTTTTATTATTCGGGAGAATAATAAACCATTCAAGTATACTATAGTTAATTTATTTAAATTAAATAAAATTCAAAGCAAAAAAGACCATTCGGCAGCCTAAATGGAAGTAGATTTCATCATAAATAGAAAAAAATATAACGAGGATTGTGTACAAAACTAGGGCTTCTAAATTCTATGCAATCGACAAAAATATGTATCGACAGAAAAATACTAAAACCAGTGCAATAGCAAATTTCATAATTGGCATAGCGGAATAGGACATAATTTTAAGACTACACATATGATATAGTACTCAAATTGAAGCTTATTTAAAGAGCTTTCAGATGCATTTTACAGAATTTCAATAAGTTATCCCATTCAAAAGTTATTCGAGTAAAAAAGTGAAGAAATGTGAATTTTTATGATTTTGAAAATTTTTAAATCCTGGCATTTCTAAAAAATTTTACGACTAATACACATATGATTTGGTACTCAAATTAAAGCTAATTTCAAGAGCTTTCAGATGCATTTTACAGAATTTCAATAAGTTATCCCAGTCAAAAGTTATTCGAGTAAGAAAGTGAAAAAATATGAATTTTTATGATTTTCAGAATTTTGAAATTCTGGTATTTCTAAATTACTTGACCGATTAAGCTCATCTTCGAACTTGACTTTAGTATTTATCTGTAGAATAAGTATGTTGAGTTTAGTAGAGACCCGTTGTAAATTAGCGACGCTATCGTCGTGACAAGCCGCGTTATATCCGATATATATATATAAATATACATACATATATAAACTTTTGAACCATATGCATTTTCTGACTCAGCTCGACGAGTATAGTCGAAATATAGCAAAATTTTTTAAAAGTTCTGTCATGAGGACCAATGCAATAGTTAGATTTCTATGAAATCTACTAAAAAACATAAAAACAAAACTTTTTTTAAATTTTTACTCAATCCATGGAGACTCATGTACTTTTTTTATACATACATATTATAATTTATATTATAATTATAATGTTAAAGAAATCCACCATTAGCTCTGAGAAGAGCTTGTTTAAATCATCAGCGTAAATGATTTTAATAGACATAGAATTTATTTTAGCGGGTAAAATAAACACTCAAAATAATTTTTTTTTTTAATGTCTGTAATATTTTATATTTTTTGAAGTTGAGGTGAGATTTTTGATTATCCCCTCCTTGGTTTAGATGAGATTTGATGAGATTTCATTGGACCCCTCCCCCTCCCCCCATTCTGAGCTCACGTAATTAATGGATGTCCCCTTACATTGTTTCTGTAAGGTTTTTATAATTATTTATCAAAAAATATCTTCATCTATTGTCTTGTGGCTATCTACTGGTCAATTTAATTCAGTAAATCATTGGAACAATGTATCATTAGAATCTACCTTTCAGATTTCAAGGATACACTGAACAACAAGTACCTTCACATCGTGCAATTCAAAAGTCTCTAGTCGATATCGGTGATAAACCTTCAAGTTTCATTGGAACGAATCAATGGATTGGCTCGACGGAAGTTGGCTTCGTATTGGAAACACTTCTCAATGTAAATTCAAAATTTTTGATCGCTTCGAGTGGTAAAGACATGCCGGATTTACTAGAAGATCTTCGGCAACATTTCCAAACACAAGGAACTCCTGTTATGATCGGTAATGTTTCTTTAGATTTTTCTGTATTATGTGAAGCTATTTAATTGTCATTAATCGGTTGAATTTTTTAAGGTGGTGGAGTACTGGCCCACACTATTTTAGGCGTGAGCTACGATGAAAGTAAGCAATTACCGTACTGGTTGATATTGGATCCTCATTATGAAGGGAGAGAAAATTTGAGTACAGTGCTAGAAAAAGGATATTGTGGATGGAAAGGGAAAGAATTTTGGCGTAAAGACGCTTTTTATAATATGTGTCTTCCACAGAGACCTATTTATTATTAACTCAATCAAATAAATAATAAGTTAACGTGATTATTTAATTATTTTGGTCATGTAATTAATGGTATATATGAAATTATATTATTATATATTTTAAAACTTTTATATGAGTAGTTATGTGGTTAAATGGATGAAATATTGTAATAAATTGTGAAAAAAAATTATTTATGGCTTAGAAATTTTTTTTATAAATATTTCCATTCCATAGTCTGCTGAATTGTCCCTAGTTTGCAGTAGTGGAGCAATACCTAAAATTTTTTTTTATAACATGTTAACTACTCAATCATAAGAAAGTACTAGCGGACCCGACAGACGTTGTCTTGTGCACACGTCTTAAATTTAAAAATTTTAGGAATGAGCTTGTATAGTTAAAAACATCATTAGTTAACAATATGCAATGGGCATTCATCAATAATTAACATTTTCGTAAATATAAGCCCATTCTGATTTTATACTCATCGAGACCTTTCATTTGAGTACCCACATGAATTTTTTTATATATCATGTATATGATATTTATAAAATATATGAAAAATGCATGTGGGTACTCAAATGAAAGGTCTCGATGAGTGTAACATCGGAATGAGCTTATATCTTTAAAAACGTCAATAATTAAGAAATTACATTGTTTCTTGTCAACTAATGATATTTTTAAAGATATATAAGCTCATCTCGATATTACACTCATCGAGACCTTTCATTTGAGTACCCACATTAATTTTTCATATATTTTATATATTTATATATATTATATGTATGTATATATGAAAAATATATCAAAAATGCATGTGGGTACTCAAATGAAAGCTCTTGATGAATGTAACATCGGAATGAGCTTATATCGTTATTAAGAACATCATTAGTTAACAAAATACATTATCATTCGTTAACTATTAAAATTATTTTCATAAATATAAGTCCATTATGATTTTATACTCATCGAGACCTTTCATTTGAGTACCCTCATGCCCCTACGGAAAAATTATATATCCTAGAATATATACCGGGAATATACCCTAGAATATACTCTAGAATATATGCTGGGATATACGAAAATTCGCTAAAAAATATATGCTAAGATATATGTGCTAGTATATATCCCCGTATATACCTCGGATATATCCATGAATATATACTTGAGCTCGTATGTGTCCCGTTGTACGTAAAATTTTTTTGAGATCTATAGTCTGGTTCATAATCAATGGACGTAACACATGCATATGGGGTATTTCATGCCAAATCGACCACTTTTGAACTCAACTCCTTTAGATTTAGCTGAAACTTTATCATTCTTTTCTACCCTTTGAAAAACATTTTTGAGAATTTTTTCATCCAACCCAAAAGAAGTTATATATTTCGCAAAAAAGTGGCTTTTTTATTTTCAAATAGCCATAACTTTTTTAGACTTTGACCTTTGAGTATCTTTTTTTTTTTTTAAATTTTTGATTTTGAATGAACTTTTCGAAAAAATACACAAAAAAATTAAATATGATCAATTCTATAAAATAATCGGTTTTTTTTGAGCAAAATCGTTATGTTTTCAAAGTTGGCCACTTTTTAGTAGATTTCATAAAAATCTAACTACTGTATTTGTCCTCATGACGTAATTTTCCGTTAATTTTACTATATTTCGACCTAACTCGACAATCTGAGTCAGAAAATACATATGGTTCAAAAGTTTATATATATATATATATACGATATAACGCGGCTTGTCACGACGATAGCGTCAACAATTCTTAAGGGATCTTAATGAAACTCAACATCCTCATTCTATCGACTATCAGGAAGGTCAAGTTCAAATATGAGCTTAATCGGTCAAATAGTTTAGAAATTAAACCAGTTCAAAATTTTGAAAATTTGATACTTTCACTACTTTTCCTTCAAATAACTTTTGAACGCGTCGAGTTATTCGATTTTTGTAAAATGCATCTGAAAGCTGAGAAATTAAGCTTCAATTCATGTGCTCACATTTTTTTCTAAAGCAAAAAAATATCCATCTTAGGATCATTTTTAAGAAATTTTACTCTTGCAGTCTTTTTTCTGTATACAGAACTGACTGAAAAGTACCGAAGTACTATAATTCTTCTCTTTCTTTATTGAACGTTATTTATTTTTTTTATAATTTTAGTTGTTTTTAATTCTTTTCATCATGAAATCTACTTCCATTTCGGCTGCCGAATGGCCTTTTTTTTTTTTATTTTTATTTCTCAAAAAAAACTTCAATCAATCTGACAACTATTCCCGCTCATCCCGGGCAGGGCCGATTTTTAGTAGATTTCATAGAAATCTAACTATTGCAATGGTCCTCATGACAAAACTTTTGAAAAATTTTGCAAAAAAACCGATTATTTTATAGAATTGATCATATTTAATTTTTTTTGTGTATTTTTTCGAAAAGTTCATTCAAAATCAAAAATTTAAAAAAAAAAAAAGATACCCAAAGGTCAAAGTCTAAAAAAGTTATGGCTATTTGAAAATAAAAACGCCACTTTTTTGGGAAATATATAACTTTTTTTGATTTATACGACAATAATCTTCTTCCAAGAAATGTAGTTCAAATCTTTATAGACTACATTCGTAAGTTTACTAATGATATTTTCATTCCATCTTTAGAACAGCAAATATGCTCTTTACTCCAAGGAAAATGTAATAGTGATGTTATAAATGACGTTAAGGCTAATTTCAATTATAGTAAAACATTATTTGATTTTGTTTCAACGGAGCATCTTAGATTTGAAGTTTATAAAAAAATGGGCTGTTTTATAGAGCCGGAGAATTTCATTATTGGGCAAACTGAAGTTGAAAAAATTGAAGATGAAAAGTTACGTATTGAGAACGAAGATGTTTATGCTGTCCATATCCCGCTTGGTCGAAAATTAAGTCTCTTCCTGGAAATCCCTGGTGTTTTTTCCGAAATTCAAAATAATATATTGTCCTTGCGGCAAGAGAAAACCGTATTTTCGAATATTATGCAAGGTTCTTTGTGGGAAAAAAGATCAGCCTCACATAAAGATAAATTATGTTTACCGATTAATATTTTTTTTGATGAAGTTGAAACAAAAAATCCTCTGGGGAGTCATCCTGGCCGAAATAAAATCGGTGTTACTTATGCAACACTTCCTTGCCTACCAGCTCACCTTGTTTCAAGATTAAATTGCATTTTTTTATCTACACTTTTTTATGGTAATGACCGAAAAATTTTTGGCAATAAGTGGGTTTTTAGAAAATTGATCGAAGATATAAAAAGTTTGCAAAGTGATGGGATTTCTATCACAGTAGATAATAAAACTATAAAAATTTATTTTGAATTCACTCTTGTTCTGGGAGATAATTTGGGCTTAAATGGAGTGCTTGGATTTGTTGAGTCTTTTTCTGCCCACTATCCTTGCAGAATATGCAAAATAAAAAACGAGGATTTGAAAACATCAGTGGTTGAAGATAAGTCATTACGGCGTACCATCAAGAACTATGAAAAGGACCTCGAGGAAAATGATATTTCTAAGACAGGACTTAAAGATAAGTGTATCTTTAACATCAAAAAACATTTTCACGTATGTGAAAATGTGTCAGTAGACATTATGCATGATGTACTTGAAGGTTCAGGTAATTATGCTATAACAGCAATAGTATATCGACTGATTTTCATCGATCAACTACTCACTTACGATATTCTAGTAAGCAGGATGAACACATTTATTATGTATGGGTTATTGGAAAGTAGTAACAAGCCTCCTCCTCCAACATTTAGAGCATATATTAGGTGTACAAATAAGTTTTAGGACACTAATGTTCGGTTCCATAAATTTAATTCAAAGTTACTGCTCACATATGATATGGTGGCGCTAGTTATGTAATATCGGAGCATAATAGAACTTTAAACATAACCTCTAAATTTGTGAATAAAACATGCAAACTGATAAGCTATTTATTAGACACTGCATTCGCTATGAATTCCATCAAGGAAAAAGTGTCCGAAAAGTACGTGAATCTATCTGCTCTGTTCTTGGGGACAACATAGTGTCTAAAAGTACATGTGAGTATTGGTTTAAGCGATTTAAAGAAGGAGATTTCGACGTTACCGATCGTGAACGTACCGGAGCTCCTGTAAGGGTGTATGACCAAGAACTTCAAGCTTTGCTGGATGAAAACTCTTGTCAGGTAGAAAAACAACTTGCAAAACAGCTTGGGGTAACTCAGCAAACTGTTTCCAATCTTTTAAAAGCGATAGGAAAGATTCGAAAAGGAACAAAATGGGTACCACACGATTTGACTCAAGAAAATAAAAATAGCCGTTTTGAAATCTGTTTAAGTCTTTATAACAAGCAACATAGAAAATCTTTTTTGTGGAAGATTGTGACCGGCGATGAAAAATGGATCTATTTTGAAAATGTATGGTGGGACATGAAAGGTATACTCCATCATGAACTTCTTAAACCTGGCCAGACAATTACTGCCGATCGCTATCATCAACAATTGATACGACTAAACCAAGAAATTGAACGAAAACGTCCGTTTACTGGCAAAAGAAAACGTCCAATAATACTGCTCCATGACAATGTCAGACCTCATGTTAGTAAACTGGTCAAGAATACGTTAATGACTCTTGGATGGGAGGTTATGCTGCACCCGGCGTACTCACCGGACATTGCTCCAACCGATTTTCACTTGTTTCGGAAAATGTAAAACGAATTGTCTGATGTACGTTTCAAAAAATTTGAAGAAGTGCAAAAATGGGTCGAAGTCTTCCTCGCCTCGCTAGATGAAACTTTTTTTGCCGAAGGCATCCGTGAACTACCTAACAGATGGCTTAAGGTTATACAAAATGATGGAGATTATTTTGATGAATGAACGAGTTTTATTTATTTTTTAAATAAAGTATGAATTTTTTAAAAAGTGTCCTAAAACTTATTTGTGCACCTAATAAAAGACAAAAAAATGTTAAAAATGTCAGCATCTAAAATGCTATGTTTCATCCGCTATTTCGGCTTAATGGTAGGAGACTTGATACCAAAAGACAATGAAGTTTGGATGTTTTATTTGAAATTGCGGCAAATAATTGATATTATAACAGCCCCTAAGCTTCTTCGCAGTCATTCTATTTTATTGGATGAACTCGTCAAAGATTATGATACATTGTATATGTTTAAAAGTTCAATTTTAATTAAATGAAAGATACTGGGACTTTGGATGGTTTGTGTTTGTTCAATTTCAATCAAAAATACAAAAATAATTAACAAAAATAATACTATATATTTATTAACAATGAGTACACTAAATATTTAATTAATTCAATAGCTGATTATTTAATTAAAAGCAGATAAGCAATGCACAGCGTGGTTATCAAAGCGGAGCCGGTTAGCACGTGGTTGAGAAAACTTCCGGCACTGTAAAAAGCGATAATCACTGCACAAATAATTTTAAGATATCTGAAACACACTAAATTAATTAAAAGCAGTTAAATTAAGCAAAAGAAAGTTATATAAGTAAGCAAGAGGGCGATTAGAAAACGATTCGAATGAAAAAGATGGATGCTAAAAA